TTGAATGGATCACTGGCGTTCTCAATCTCATCGAAGTTGAGATGTGTATTTTGACTCCGGGTAATATGTACACTTTTGCCATGTATAGACTCGACTCTGTAGCTCGCGGCCCAAACGGAACCGTAGCTTAAAGGCTGTTTTTTATAGGAACCACAACCATGGACGCTCTAGCCATTCTCGGTGGTTCTACATCTTCTGTTGATGTGCCGGCCGGCCTCGTAGCCGGGTAGGCACAAAGAAGTAATGGCCAAGTGGATTGACACTGCAAGGGCAACGTTCCATGAAGCCATCTTAGAAGTTGAAGGTAGACGGTAGACACCATGAGGAACTTAGCACTGTGAGGCAACAGGCTCAAGCGAACATCGAGAAATTGCAAGGAGAACTTCAAGCAACCAAAGCGCGTGTGTCCCACATTAGGCCACGAGAAAGTAGCCGAAATGAATGTATTGCGTGAACAGCTCACTGAAGATTGCAAAGCCACTGTGAACAGCATCACTTTCGACGCTGAGCCAGGTGTTGACGAAATCGGCAAGGAGTTTGATCGAAGGACTCTTAGTCTGCAGCGTGACCTGAAGCATGCGCAAGAAATCATCGATGAACTCCGAGCCGAATTGAAAGATCTCACAGATCAAGAGTATCGTCCAACTAGTGCAGTTCCCTCGTCAATGATGACGCGTAGGCAGCGAGAGCACAAAGCAAAGAAAGGAACGTTCGAGACCATTGCAGCAGAAGCCAGTGCTAGATTGAGTGGACTGTTTGCGCCAAAGATGCGTGAAGCCACCATCGCTGGTGATGCCCCGAAGGGGTCTGCGGCAGCGTTGAATGATGTGCATGAGCCAGCGCGCAAACCCGTGCTACCTGTTAATGCCAAAGCGGATCCTGATGGGGGAAACACACCAACGCAAGGCATCAGAAGTCCAGTGCAGTCCTTCCACGGACCAGACAAACCAGCCGCCTGGTCTGGTGCGATCACTTCCGAGGAAGTCATTGAACTCGTGAAGTCTTTGACGCAATGGGACGAGAAGCCGAAAGTTAAGGAAGCTGACCATGAGTTTGATATGCTCACGCCTGAAACCTGCAGGCAGTGGAATCATCGTGTGAGAGACAAGATCAAATCATTCTCGGATAAACCCGATGCTGCGTGGGACTGGTTGATGGAGGTCTACAACACAGTGGACGAAAGGAAGGCTCTGGAAGAGTGACTTCTTAATCCAGACAAATTTACTACTCTTGACACCAAACTAGCTGCTGCATTGACACGTAGCGCAAAGGGTGACCTAGCCAATCGCGTCATCAACTACAAGGTAGAAAAGGCTAAGCTAGGCGTCCAGGTTCGAGGTAGGATGATCCTCCTCATGTTCGACGACTACTTCAAGACCTCTGAAGAAGCCGGGAGGCTTTATAGGGTTGAGGATTTGCTCAATGTGGTGAAGATTGGCGACACCGTGCCTTATTCATCAACCGCTGGGACGCTACCATCGCCGGTATGCCCGAACCACCGCATGAAAACGTGTTGAGGGACATACTGTTGAGACAGATCCCAACCAGTTCCATCTTGAGGTATGACTTTGTTTCTTTTTTGACCGGGAGGGTGAACACAACAGGTCATACAATGATAGAAGTTCCTGTTGCAAAGCATCAAGGACCTGATCGATCTTGAACGCCTTCATGAGAATCGGTCGCGTATCGCCGAGCGCAACAGGTTGAAGCCAGGTGATCGAAGTGACAAGAATGCGGCGCCAGCTCAAGATCCACACCGCAAACGATCTCCGTCACGTGGTCGGCCAACGTCACGAGAGAAGGGTGTTTGTTGGGCCTTCCTTGAGGGGAAATGTACTTAGGGGAAGGATTGTAAGTTCAAGCGCGAGAAGCTGATGCGCGGCCCCTCTAATCGTCCAAAGCGTGATCCATCACGGGAGAAGAAGGACAAGAGGGAGAAGAGTGAAGAGAAAGACAAGAAGAAGATGACCAAAGAAAAAAATGGCTAGGACTCCATGTCGGTATGCGGGGACATGTCAGCGGGCGACGCGTGTTTCTTCATGCGTGGTGACAAGACATTGCCTGCCCCAAAGTCAAAGGCACGCAAGGACAAGAAGGGAGATGGAAAGAATACTCCAGAACCGTTTTGCCTGTTTGGCAACCGATCTGCCAGGCCCATTGCGTGTGCCAAAGTCATTGAAGAAACACGTTCGATTCGCAAAGAAGATTGAAGTTGAGGTGATCCCTGCAAGGGGGTGAACGCTGCAAGATGGTCAAAGAGCCCCAAAAGCACAAGTTGCGCCACGCCGCAAGCGATTGTGCGCCCAAGAGCAACCCGAAAACTGTCAACCAAGCCAAGGTTAGGGCTAGGCAATTTGCTGAAATTGATCGGAAGTTTGAGACCGATGATCTGCCTTTGTGCCATTTCAAATGTCTCGAATCATCAAACTCACGCGCCGTGCTTGCAGGAGTCTTATTCAAGTGACGAAGTCGTGTCCAAAACCGCATTCGCGCAGCTTGTGGCAAGTCCGGCCCCGCGGGATGGGAAGTTTTCATGGTTGTTTGATTCAGGGAGTGGAAAAGATCTTCTCAGTAGAGATGTTATGGATGCTGCAGGTGCCAACAATCCACGAAAGGCCCCACAAGGTATCAGCCTGATTACTGCAATTGGGTCAACCGAAGCAAGTAAGATTGCCGGCGTCAAGATGAAGCAGCTGCTTGAACCATGTACGCCATATTTGCTTGATGAATGCCCAGCTGTTCTGTCCGTAGGTTTCAAGTGTTTGATCAGGGTTACAGCTTTGCGTGGCCGGCAAATGGTACTCCCTTACTGGTTCGACCGGATGAAAATATTGTCCAACTTTGCAGTGACGGTCATGTCCCAGCCCTCGATTCTTTGCAAAGTCTTTGGGAAGGGTCAATTCAAGAAGGGCAAACCCCTGAAGAAATTGCTTGCTGTGCTGGGAGCAATCTCGAGCTCATCGGACAAGAAAGAGGATGAAGGCATTGATGCAGTTCCAGACGACGATGGGTGGCGCCCGTTTGGACAAGCGCGTGTTCCAACCAAGCAGTTTGGGGAGGACTTCACGTCCCCAGCTGGCGGTAGATGAGCCAAGTCTCATCATGTTTGCAATCATTGCAGTTGATTTCGTAACAGCCCTTGTACAAATGTTTGCCAGTGGGCCTGTCTTTCGAAGGCGAGGAGTGAATTAATATCCACGGTTTGGCATCGTTGCCAGCGCCTTGCCATGCCTGCTTCACAGCAGTGCCCTGCACAAAGCCCCGTGCACTTTCCGCGTCAAGCTTTAGCGTCAAAGATGCTTCAGCTGAGGGGGGTGTATTTTCACTCCGGGTAATATGTACTCTTTTGCCATGTATAGGTTGTGATGTACTCGACTTTGTAGCTCGCGGCCCAAAAAGGAACCGTAGCTCAACGGCTGTTTTTGTAATATGCTCTGTTGCATCCCATGCCACGTCCTTCAGGCGACTGATCACCAGGAAAGTTCCTTCAACAGCGGTGTCGCGGCTGCGCCTCATGCACTGCTTCTGTAGCTGCTTCTGAGAAATAGCATGGGCGAGGTTTTGGGTAATTTTCTTTCTGTTTAAAAGACTTGCCTTGGCGGCGCTGTGACAATAGGGCTTGCATGTTTTGATGTGACTTCTTTCCACCTGATGTGACTTCCTTCCAATGCGGTGTGCCATATGGGGTGATGTACCTTTTCGCCGACTGATGTGATTTAAACCCTGCGTTTGTAGCTCTTCTGATTGAGATTCTTTAAAGAAGGACATGCCTTTTCCAAACCAGAGTCTAAACCTTTCTGCTGATGCTGTGGTGCAAACGGTAGTTGTAGTTCAGCTCCTTCACCTTAGGCATTTGTAACCAATCCTCCTCAAATGCGCCCGGCGCGGACCTTCGATCTCGGCACATTAGGGTCTCCTTCTTGGACTCCCACGATCCACGCCGAGCGCGAAGAACTTATTCTCAACCGTCCGAAGGATTCCAACAGATTCCGCTACCAATCTCGTTGAACAGGTTGTGCAGCTCTCAAGGTCTGACCTGTTTTCCTCAAGCACGTAGTCTAAGGGGTTTGTCGCTCTATATCGGCTCAAGGGCCTTAATATGGCCACGATTGGAAACAAATCTTGGAAAATGCACGGCGCCGACATGAAATGTCAATGACATGTAAATGGAATTCAGATGTGCATGTTCTCCGCCCGGATGATTCTAATCAACAGACCGATACCTCGACCTCAACTCTGCTTCTGAGAAAGAGGGTCTTTGGATGTCTTTGATACACAGTGGCCAGGAGTTCCATGCCCAGCCATTAGAAGTTGCTGTATGCTCGCAACCCCCGTGAGTTTCAGGTATTGTAGTAGGCATTTGTGATATGATCGAGCAACAAGTGGGCTACAAGTCTGTTCTACTATAGGACCACAGTGGAACAGTTCATAGGCTGGTGTGCCATCGAACTGCCACAGCTGCATCCCATTCCTGTAGTGCCTTTTGTGGGTCGATGTGGGCAGCACCGTTTGGAAGCTGTCAGCAGCGCCCAGCCCGACTGCTCTGGACCCACAATTCAGGAGACATAGACGCAGAAAACCACACCTTTCCCAAACTTGCGCAAAGTCAAAAGATGTCCACCACTTGCGTCCAAACATAGAGACGCAGAGCACCAGAGCACTCCCGACCATAGATGCAGAATCACAGAATCAAGAGGGCGTAGCGTACGCAATTCTTGAGCTCATCAGAGGCTAAGTTGGCTTCAGGACATACTTTCCACAGTCAGATCATGCCAGTTCAGATCATCCCTTGGGGCGCTGTTTTGGTCCATTTGTGGAGGTTCCCGTCTGCCATAGGGCACTGCCGCTGCAGGTTTTGCCAGACCAGGGTTGCAGAGCGAAGCGCTGTTTCCATCCGTTTCCAAGAGAGCTTATTGTCCAGGGTTCTTAATGTATCACGTCGGCGTAGGTTTTGTTGTGGGGTCGCAGCGCGCTGCACACTTGCTCTCTCGAGTGCCAAGGGGCTGCCCTCCGCCAGATCCGCGATGGGGCGGTGGACCTGATCGCGCGAAAGTGGGGTGCTCAGTGCTTGGTGTTTGCAAATAGAGCATGGGGTTCCAAATAAGGCGCATTTAATTGCAGAAGGAATGGCAAGAAGGCAATGCAAAAACTTTCTAGTTCACTTCTTCAAATAGGAGTTTCATAGTGGGTTTTCACCCTTTTGGCTCTCACCTAAAATTGGTTTACCCCAATGTTATTAATCTCAAATCAGTGTTTTGGTTCTTGTCAGGACACAGCTGCCAAAGCATGATTGCCCACTCTGTTGGTTGGTCTGTAGGTTCCAACCTTTCCTCACCAACACCGAGATGAAGACGGCCTTGTTGTGTCTTGGATTTTGTATGGGCTTGGTGTGGACGTGTCAAGAATCTATAGCTGGTGGGGGAACTAGAGGTTGATCCAACTTGCCACGTCACGCCTGATTGAATAACTGTATAACTGTTGCATTGCCAGTTAGGCCGATGGAGGGATCTCGGAGGACCTCCCGCAAACAACAAATGACCTGCAAATTCCAGTTCGCTCTTTACAAAACAGAGGAATCTCTGCAATGCCGCAGCGGGGTTCGCAGCCTGGGGTCAGAGGTGGTGGTCTAGATCGCCCCCACTGCCACAACTTTGGAGAAGCCGCGAAAGTTTTAAATAAGAAACAAAGAAGCGGGATGAAGCTTTTCCCTTCTGTTGGAAGCGCAGGCGGCTTCCTGCACGTGTCTTGGTGGAGATCCTTGACGCGGATGAGCTGTTAGTAGCCAGCGAGGACCGATCCGAACCAAACATTGAAGTACCCGCTTTTACAGAATATATATTACGAAAGCCAGCCGATAGGCTAGGCTTGAGCTCTTAGAGCGAACGAAGTGAGTTAAGGGGGTGAGTCCGGAGCTTGGTGGGGGAGAGCGCTCCAAAGCGATGGTCAGAAAAGCAGTGAAAATGGGGTCTGGTGATGCGAGTGATGCTCTGGACGCCGGGTAGTGCATCATTAGCGTCATGAAGGGGTCGCCGGAGTCTCCGTCATGCCTGCGTCCAACCCTTGTGCGCCAGCTTCTAGACGGAGAGTTGCCCCAAGGATCCATGCGATGAGCAGCGCAAGTGCGCCATCGTGTTGCAGAGCGGCCGGGCTTGCGGTGGCAATCATAGTGCGCAAGTGGAGACAATTTTTCTAGTCCTGAGCAGGGCATAGGGGCTGTGACAAAGAGTGAATGCTCTGGGAGCGAACGATGTGAGTAAGTGCAGTTGGGCGAGGTAGAGGCTTGGGGATAAGACCGCCGCAAGAGGAGAAGCAAGAAAGCTGCAACCGTTCAACGCTTCATGCTGTGCTCCGATCTTGATCTCAGTCGCAGTGGTACCAGCTCCACGAAACTACAAGCTTTCAACTATAGGGGCTCTGCTATTTTTCCTCCCAGCCCTGCTCTCTATAGGGCTTCGCATTGATGAACGATACCCGAAACACATTTCAACACAACCACAAAAACCATTTCGGGCATCATTCTCCTGGTGTTCACTGACGTCTATTTTTGCACGCACTCTCAAATAGAACACCAACAAGGGACGCTCGAGAAGGCGCCGCACCAAGCAAATCAAGAATACTAAAAATCAAAGACATTCAACACTTCATGCTGTGCTCCGATCTTCATCTACGTCGCAGTGATACCAGCTCCACGAAAACTACAACCATTCAAGAATGAGTGCTCTCCTCTTTTCTTTCTCCCAGCCCTGCTCTTTATAGGGCTTCGCATTGATGCACGATGCCCGAAACACATTTCAAAACAACAAAAACAATCTTTCGGGCACCCTTCTCCTGGTCTTCACTGACGTTTATCTTTATACACCCACCAAACAGGGACGCTCCAGAGAGCGCCGCGCTAGGAAAATCGAGAAAGCCTAAAACATTCAACGCTTCACGCTGTGCTCCGATCTTGATCTACTCCACGTTGATACAAGCTCCAGGAAAGCTACAGGCATTCAACAATAAGTGCTCTGCTATTTTTTCCTCTCAGTCTTGCATTACCATATTGGTCTCTCGCTGGCTTTCGTCCTCTCCTTTCTCACGTATATATACATACTGTACACATGTTTTGCTATGCTTGCGTACTTTGACTTTGTGAACACTTGACCGTGGACGCCTAAACCCTTTAGGCTCGATTTCCCATTTCAGGAAAAAGGGGCGCACTTCGTTTGCTGCCTCGTTTTCATGGTAGCGGAGCCGACCCGGGGGGATCTTGAAATAGACCCGGGAGAGGACTGTGAGATCCAGGGAGGTGGAAAGAAAGAAGCGAAGTGAAAGAAGAAAGAAGAAAAGAAGATTGATGAAGAGGTGGCTAAAGCCCTGGTAGCTGCCTCGCAGCAATCGGCCGCAGTGGCTCAAGAAGCCGCGAAAATGTTGAAAGAAGCGAAGGAGAAAGATGTGAAGAAAGGTGGAGAAGGCTTCGCAACAGCCAGCAAGGTTGGTAAGACCTCCTGATCCTTCTGCGCGAAGCACTTTGGAGGAAGAGATCGCGCAGTGGCAGGATTGGAGGCTCGCGTTTCGAAGGTGGATAGTCTTAGCGGAAGAGGCCTACCGCAAGGAGATTGTAGAAAGGCCAGAGAAGGAGGTGAAGCTCTCAAGCACGAGCAAAGATGAGCAAGCCAGGTCGGAGAAGCTCTACGCCATTGTGAAGCTGCTAAGGCCGCAATGGCTATGCCAACTTTCCACACAATTGGCGCCAAGGACGAGATCGAGGTGCCCTCCTCCAGGCATTCCTCAACCACCCGAGCTTCACGAAGGAGAAGAACACCACGATGTTGGAACAGCTCCTTGGCCTTGAACGTTTGGCCGAGGAATACTCAAAGGTGGCCAAGGAAGACATCAGCGACAACGCTAAGCTGAGTGTTGCTGAGAGTGATGCCGGCTGCAGTAAGACAGCGTTTGCAGCTGCAGATGGCCGGTGACACCACCGACAAGGAGGCAAGGGAAGATGTTGGCCTACCAGAGGCCGACAACCTCTTGGGGCTTTCCGGCCATCTGCCGAGAACTGGCCGTCACCAAGGACCACGACAAGACTGACGAGGCAAAGGAAACGGAAAAGACAAAGGCGGCAAGTCCAAAGGCAAGCAGAAGGGGAAAGGCTATGGAAACTTTGCCAACAATGACTCAAAGGGCAAAGGCAAGCAGCAGAAAGGCAAGGACGGCAAAGGCAAAGGAAATGTGGGGGGAAAGGGCATTGGAGCAGAGAATGCCCGATGAGCACCTTGAAGTGTTGCCCAGGCCTCAGCTGCTGCACCGTCGTCAGTGGTAAGAGCTGAGACAAGAGAGGAGAGAGAAGGATGAGAAGAGGATGAAGAGTCAGACAATAGCTTAACAACGGACTATGGAAGTCTGGAAGGGCGCACTTAGAACTTGAGAGATGATGCCTATCAGGCATACAGGCTCGTGCAGATCGAGCATGACGTCGGCGTGGAGGTGTATATCATCATGAAGGTGAGACAGTTTAGACAGATGATGGAGGACGACCCTGCTGATGAGGACATCCCTGCGGGCCTTGAGATGTTGAGAGACTCCAGAGGATGCTGATGATCGCAGGGCCAGAGACAAGGAATCAAGTGACAGAGTACTTGAGGAGATTGCGGCAATACACCTACTGCATCAAGAAGGGCCATGAAAGCATCCATTGCAGGAAAGTGAATGGCCTGATGGATGGATTGCGGCCAACTATGGGCCACCAAGGATGCTGAGAGAGTTTCGAGTGCCACCAGGATGACAAGAACGTGATAGCGGCGAGATGGAGGATGAAGAAGAAGCTGGGATCGGAGTGGAGACCCAGCAAGATGGAGTACAGATGATTGAAGAATAACCAGAGCCTGAACAAACCGAGTAGGTGCACTCATAGAGTGAACACTGAAGTGGTTTTCAAGGCCATGAGGTTCACTTTTGCCCATGCCCTCGAAAAAGGCAGGGTGTGAACACTTGACCATGGACGTTTCAACCCTTTAGGCTCGATTTCCCAATTCAGGAAACAGGGGCGCACTTCGTTTGCGGCCACGTTTTGAGACTTCCATATATGTATTGCATATGTATATAACTGTATATATGTCCATATGTATATGTGCCTATTTGGGGTGCAATATGCCCAACTTCCCTTCCTCTTTTGGTGCCTTGGCGTTTTCGCTAAGTTAGTTGGAATTTGAGTCGTTATCAGCCGCCGACCGCAGACAACGAGGATGTCGTCTTCGACTTCGTCTTATCTCGCTTGCAGCTGGAAGAGCCTCCGGAGTCAGACGGTTGGCGGCTGAGACAGGTTAGTCAGAAACTATATAGTATAGTTGATGAGCTCAACGAACCGATCTATCCAGAATTAGGACCTCATAATTTATATGAGTCAGTCTGTTGATACAAACTATGCTACAGCAACCACCAAGGTCAGAACAGCGATGGGAGCTCGGCCGACAGCGATGCTGGGGAGAAGGCTGACTTTCCACCTGTAGATATGGTGCAAGATCTTTGGGATGTTGGGGGAAGGCGTCATTGAGGGTGATTTTAACCTTTGAGTCGTGGACTTGTAGTCTTTTGCCGCCACAGTACACCACTTTTTGGAAGATTCTGAACTCTTCTCATCCAGAGGTCACAGCTTGCCCAAAAGATCACCACAGGAGAAAATTAATGAACTTATTGATTGATCAGTCTCCAAATCAAGCTTTCGAGTGCACAACTTTTGGCACTCTGACCAGTTGAAGGTTCATCCTTTCTAGTCCACTCATGCCAGGATCGAAAGCGCACAAACTGTGATTGTGTCAGGATACTTTCCCTAACAAGTTGCAGTGTCATTTAATGTACTGGTGAAGGGGGTGATATGTTGCAACAGCCTTTCTCCCGTGCTTAATTCAAGTATCCACTATTTTCTTCAGAAGGTATAAAGTTACAAGATGTTGTTGGGTCGCGGCTGCGGTTCACAGCGGATCGAATTTGCAAGTTTATGTTTCGTGGGAGGTACAGCAGGGTCCGAAAATCTTACAATACTATATTATATAAGGCTTTACGCACGTTGTATGCAGGATTCTGAAGACTTGATTGCATGGAATATTTTTGAACACGCTGCACAACCTGAGAATGCTGCCTTCCTTGCGAGCCATGAAAATGCTGCGTTGCGGCGCGCTGCTGAGCCTCCCCAACTATATGCTGCTTGGCCGGCGCAGGTGCCTCTCTACACAGGACTTGGAGAATCTCAGCATTGCAGAGTTGCGGCAACTGGCATCGCAACGGCAGATCTCCCTGGCAGATTGCTTTGAAAAGCGGGAATTGGTTCAAAAGTTGAAGCAAGATTTGAGTTCTTCTGAAAGGACTGATATGGGTGCTAGAAGTCGCTTTGCTTCCAAATCTGTTGCTGAGTTGCGAGTTCTGATTCACGAGGCAGGTTTGAGCTCCCAAGATCTTCTAGAGAAGAAGGACTTGCTTGAACGCGCACAAGAAGCCGAACGTCTTTTATCTGAAAGGAACAGCACACACAGTAACAATGAACAAAAAGCTTCCGAAGATGCAAAGGCCTCGTTGCCCTGGGATGCACGACGCTATCAGGAGTTGGAAGTTGTGCTCTTTGCCCGCGGCGGATGTCCCCATTGCGTTTCAGCATTCACACTTTTGAATTCACGTGTCAAAGACTATGAGTTGCAAGATGTTGAGTGGTCGAAGGAGGCAGTACAAGAGTTTCAACGCCTCGGAGGCAAAGGAGTGCCATTTTTCTACTCCAGAAAAACTGGAAAGTCTGCATCTGGTTGGAAGCCTGGGGCAGAAGATCTCCAGTGGTTGATCCACCGATTGGAATGAGCCGCAATTGGAGAAAAGGAGTCCAAAGGAGCAGGTTAAGACTTCAAGCGATCTTCAAAAAAGACTTCAAGAAAATCAAATGCCTCGAAACTCACTTCTAATGACAAATTCGCAGGCTTCTCCTTCGGGACGTCCGGATTGCGCGGAGTCTGATGATGAAGAGGATTGGCCGGCTTTTTTCGACCCAAGACCAACAACTAGTGTCCTTGACGCAGCATGGGGTCTCACAGTCGGGGTGATTAAAACAGGCAAAGTGTAGAGCACCTGAAGCCATGGGCTGCGGAGTCCATCACTGCAAGTACACGTGGATTTTTGGTTGAGGCCTTGTGGGACAAAGTTCGATGGGCCTTCCTGAGCTCCCAGAAGTTTGCACAGGCAGGTCGGAGGAGCGTGTAGCGTGAATTTTTGCCCATCCTAATCGGCTGTTTTAGGCACCTTTTGATCTCCCCCCAACAAAGGCAGAAACATCCTGATATTCTCTCAGTGGTTTAAACAGTGATGACTGTTCCATGCTGAGAGGCATCTCAGCGTGACTCTGCTACTGACAGTTAGGGTGTGAGCAGTCTTGTACTAGTCTTACTTCTCACCCACCTTTCAACCACGCTCTGGATCCACACTGACCACTCGCCCTCAATGGGACTGAACTCTTGAGACTGCAAAAGGCGCTAGCTTTGGGCAAAAGCCTTCTGAAACCTGAGGCTGGTGGCTTTGCTGTTTTCCATTTCTGTGTTGCTTGATGTGCTGCTATGCATATATGCATCGTGCAGCCAGGTGACCCTTCGAGCACTGACGGTCCCCACCTGAGTACTAATGCTCCCGTGGCCACCGTCCTGATAATGGAGACTTTGTGCGGGATGTTCTGTGCAAAAGTAAGGCAAGAAGCATCAGATTCGACCTGGGAGGCACTTTGCTTTGCTAAGCGATTGCAGGAGTTCATCCAATGCATGGCCATGGATGCCCATAAGTGTTTTTTGTTTTGATCAACAGAAACCCTCATTCCATGCACTAGTCACTACAGATCTTTTCCTGCCGTGTCGCTAGTCTGCATGTTTAGCTACTAGCAGGTGCTGAAGCTTTCGGCTCTATGGGATACGTGGCCAGTCTCGTGCGCGAAGGGCTTCTTCTATCACTTTTGCAAGAATCAAGAGTCCGATTGCTAATGGGCATACCCAAAGTCCACTTTATATCAGTTCATGTCCTCTTGGCTGCTAGTCTTAAAATGTCCTGCATAGTTCAAACCGCCCAACCCCCACCTTCGGTTCAGGTACCGAGGCGTCCTATCTTGCCACCGGGAGTGCTGAGATTCTCAGAACGCAAAAACTTGTAGCTCCGAGACCACTTAGAATCCTTTCAAGTGTTGGACATGTTTGAACCAGGTTTCCAAATTGTTCGTTGTCAAACAGTTGCTAGTCACCTCTGAATACCCCTTCACCCTTTGTGACACTGATGATCGTTGAACAGAATTGTGCTTCAGCGCTAAGGCCGCCTCCCACATCGACAGAGATAGATTTCTGCTTCCACTATGCACACTCGGAGTCTTGCTTGCAGATGATAGTGATTTGATCTCGCCAGCTATGATGTAAGCTTTGATGTTTGCTTTTTTTTATATTACCCGCCCTTACTTAATTAAGTAGGCGCCTACTTAATTAAGTAAGGGAGTAAGCTACTAGATACTTAAGCTACTACACATGGACGCAGGCACAAATGATTTGGTTCCTAGACTTGTGGTCTGTATGATCTCTACACTTAGGAGCAGTATGCATGTGGCGAGGCCTGACAGATGAAGGAGTCACTTTAGCTGATCCCTGATTCTCAGTGGCTTGCCAGGTTTCTTCTTTACCTTCTCATTATCAAGACATATCAAGACAGTACTGTTGCTGATATGACCTTCGTGAAAACACTGCTTCCCGCTCAGCCAAGGCTGTCAAACTGTTAGACTGCTGTTTCTTTTTGCAGGCCTTGCGTTCGCAGCCAAAAAGGATTGGTGATGTTGTTCTTCGAGTGTGTGGCTTAGCAAGGACATGTTTGAAGACCTGGAAAGAGCTTTCAAAAGCTTGAGTGAATCTTGGCTACTGTATGGTTCTCTAGAATGTCAAAGAAACCAAAGGAGGTCAATACTCATTCTCCAAGCTTCTCCAAGTACAATTTTGACGCTGTACTTGGAAATCAACTTGGACTCAGTACTTGCTGCCACGACCACGCTTAGGTTTTAGTGTTTCCAGCTGGGACAGACACAGGAGTTGCCAGGCCAGGCCATGATCATTTTTGGATTAGGGCTAAAAAGGTCCCTTGAAACTTGAAACCTGAAGCAGAGTATTCTCTGAGCATTTCATTCTTCGGCTACAAGTTCACAACGAGTGCACATTGGCTTGAATTCAGCTGCTTTCAAATTTGAGAACGCTCTTAGAAATGATTCTGCAGAGTATGCCTACATCTATGCTGAGAGACAGCTCCTGCGAAAGAAGTGCCGTTGGCACATCACACAGTGGACAACTGTAATTTAACATTTTGGATTTTCGGGTTTTTGGCCGACCTATCAGCCTATTTTATTGGATAAGCTAAGTCGCTGATTTTTTTCTTAACAATCGGTCTCTGGGAGGGGTTCGCTCTCTGTCTTCTTGGAGGCGGGGCTACACACTTTGCACGGCCATTCTGCTTGAATAACAGGTATGATTTACCAAGAAAGACTACCAGAGGCAGAAACTCTATGTTGGAGCCGGAATAAGTTTCTTTTTTTCAATGAACACCTTTGCCGATGACATCGTCACTAAACCATTGACTGCCTGAGTGTTCCATGCCCCTGCCCCCGAAGGGATTGAAGTAGACACTTTCGAAAATCCTGAGCTGTACACATTGACATCCGCGGGTGTGGGCATCCGGATGCAGGCCTGATAGAAAGTTCTTACACACCATTGGTATTCCAATAGTCGGCCTGTAGTACTGAATTCACAGGGACATTTTGTTCCGAATGTCCTGTCTCTTGCATGTTCACAAGTGTACAGTCGCCGGCGCGCGCACACACACACAAGCACATATGCACGTTAGGTATATATAATTCATGAACGTTGGAGGACCTATGACTCGTTTGCAACGAGCCAAGCGAGTGAGGCTGTGCCTCAACCAAACTGGCCACGAGACTGGGAGTTTGCAAACATCCGGTGCCCCGCAGTTGGACTGAAGTCGAAGGGTGGCCAAGGAATTTGTTCTTTCTTCGCGTAATATGGTCCTGTTTTTTTCCTGGCCAGACTTGTTTTTTTGATTCTTTTTTTTGTAACCTTTGGTTTGCAACAACCTGCCTTTTGCTGGTGCAGGTACGGCATAGCATGCATCAGATGGCCATCAGGTGTCGAATTCTGGTGGTTCACCGGTAGGCAATTCACAGTGTAGAATAACGAAGTCAATCGTGGCTGTTGCTCAAGCGACTGGAGCACCTGTCGGAACTTGAAGCAAAAATGGTCACGCATCAATGTGTTCAGATTCGTTTACTATATATATATATTTAGATTGTTGAACATTTGGATCTTGAAGGCTTTATGGCTGGGCTCAAGAAGCCGATGTCCACCAACCAACCTTGGTTTCTCCCGAGGCTCTGGTGAGACCTGGGCAGCCAAGAAAAAGAGTGACCTTTGGACCTTCAAGGCAAAGAATTTGTGCGATCAGTATTCCAGATGGTGTGTCTCAAGGGTCTTCTAAAGGCAAATCCTTGACGCTTGTGAATGATGCTTGGGAGTTTCTTCGGCGTATCTTTTGCTTCACGCAATTGAGAGTGAGGATGTAGCAGGAAGGAATTGAATTGTTGTTTTTGCAAACCAATCACCCTGCGAATCCACATGCCATGACCAACCATACCTTGACTTTGATCCTCCGTAATCATTTGGGTCGAACTGTGGCCCTACTTCCATGTTTTTCCACCGCTTGTTCGCATGGATCTACTGCGCTTTGACTGCATTGCCCGCAGTGGTAGTGCGGAGCTGGTGACGATCTGTGGCTTCCAGGCGTAAGCGTGAATTTGAAGAAGGAGAGGATCAGGTGGCCTTTAGCATGGAGAGGATGCATGAAAGAAGAGATAGAGAGGGTGATAGTGAAGGGTGCTCCTGCTATCGTGACAAGGAGCCGCCACGCACCCACAGCGGAAGGACTCTGAAGGTACGTTTCAAGTTTGGGAGTTGAGTGACACCCTTAGGGAGAGCCGTGGGGTGAAGTGTGGGGTGAAGTTGATGCGAGCCATGACGAAGACCTCAGCTTTGAGGACACTGCGTGTGAAGATCGGGCTCGCAATGTGATGGTGCGGCTGAAAGAATTCTTCCAACCTAATCTGGAGGCTTGCCTGCCACGGGCCATTGAGGGTGCGGTGTATAGGGAGCATTGCCAGGGTAGAGGGTGTTTTGAGAAGGTGTTACATCGTATACCGACAAACCAGGACCCGGCTAGCCTTAGAAAAGGGGAAAAGGTCATCATGAGTACATTCATGTGGCTGATGGCGCTGCGTGCACGGACGTGGGCAGTCCAAGAAGAGGCAGGAAGTTCTGGAAGCGCATGCAGAGGGAGCGAGAACTCTTCCAATGCGCAGGAGGTAGGAAGTGTGGTGGAATTTCTCAGCGCCACGGATGGCCAGAGAAGGGAGGTCGCCAGGTTTACGAAGGCCTAAGGCGGTTCGACCAGTGGCTATTTCCAGAGCATACCTGCCGTCTATATTCCAGAAGTTGGCGGAGGATGAACAAGGTTGCGAGATAATCTGGAGGACTCCGTGGTTGACGTGGTTCAGAACTCTTTGCGCGTCAGAGGTGTTGATCGCCGATGCTGGGGAAGAGTTCCCCTTCATTTTGATGCGCCCCGGGTCGCGGGATAGAGACTCATTAAAAAGGCATGGAGGCAAGAGAAGACTGAGCGACGCGGAGCAGACTTCAAAGACTTCACAGACTTGTCGGAGAAGGCTATATCAGAGGCAGTGGTGACCTCGGAAGATATCTTAGCTCACACAGGAGGTGGAGCTGATGGCAAATTACCAAATCACAGACGTCAGCTTGATGGCGAAGAAGGTTGAAAACAGTTGAAGCCGAAGCCGAGTTCATCAAGAACTCAGTGCTGGTGATCATGCGTTTGTGCACCGAGCGCTGCGACAGAGGAAGACCCCAGACTTGTCAGACAGTGGAGAGCAACGTGCAGTTGGCAGTGGTCACTGATGCGTCGTTTGGAAGCCACGCCTTCCACCCAAGGGGGAGGCCAGATGGTCGTGGCCACGACGAAGCCTGAAGGGCGGCAAGCAGATAAAAGATGAAAAACAAACTTGCTTTGGTGGTGGCGTTGAAAATTCCATCGAGTTGTGAACTTGACTCTTGCAGAGACACAGAGCTTAGGCAAGGTGGGGGATTTGATGTGGATCATTGTGCCCTTCCACGAAGCTCAGGCACTGGGCGAAGAACCAATTGCGAGACAGTCTCGCACTGGTTGGTGCCAATAGCTTGTTTGACCACCTGAAAGGTGGCACTCAACGTCAGCATGAAAGTGGGGAGCTGTGAGCCCATGTGTCATGACCAACCATACTCATTTGGGTCGAGCAGTAATCCGCTCCTTCGGTTTGAGCAGTGCCCACACGTCCACTGAAACTTGCTGTTTGAGGCCAACCGGCTGGATCGCGGGTGGCACGACTTTCTAGCTCCAGGTGAGATTCATAGATACTTGGGTCAGAACCCTAGTGGCAGATTGCTTCCACTTTGCGAAGTGCGGCCTCCATGGAACAAACGCAGCAACGAAAAGAGTCCTGTCACTGTACATAGTCGAGATGGACTTCAAAGTCCGGTAAAAATGACGGATTGACCAAGAGAAGTAACAATTGAGTGAGGTCTTTTCATCCGCAGGTGATGCCACTAGGGTTCAGTTTGTTTGGTCGCTTGTTTCGAGTTGCAGTTGTTGCTAACATTATCATCCTGTGGTGGCTTGGCTGCAGTTTTGGCTTCAACAAACTACCAGTGCAGATTTTTATCCCAATATACATATCATGCCACAAATTTAGCAAATCGCTTCAGTATGGTCTAAAAACCTTTCTTAGGAATTGTCATTCCTCACGAAAAGAAAGGTAGAATAGCACAATTTTTTGCCTTGAAAACTACTTCTGCAAGTGGTTTGGGCCCAGATTGAGGTTGTTTGCCCTTTTATAGTTGCGCCTTTGCTTGAGGTCCTGATGGATTTGTTTGTATTCGCGGTTCTTTGGAGCAAGAATGCTTGGGTGCGAAACCCAGCTGACCACTGAAGTGCGGTGTGCCAACTCCACCCACTTGCAGTCTTCAAGTAGCCTACATTTCCACTCAACAGGTCGAGTTGGTTTGCATCCGACATACCTTGGATTGGAACGAAGTGCTTGGATGCAGCCTAGCTTCAGGATCGTTAACTTTATCCAAGTGTGCTTATAATTTTTGATGTATCATGGTCGGAAATGTGCAACGCTTACTTTCATCTTGAGGGCGGTTGATTTATGTAAAGGTGTTCAATTGAATTCCTTGCTAAAGTGTGAGGGACACTGGCGTTGTTTTTGCACCCATGAATAGTGTTTCTTTGATCACATGGTGGTTGGCCTTGGATAGGCTTAACTCGGTTCTTCATTCAATGAATGAAGAACCAGGAACATTGTAACATCCCTCCATGCTTGGTTTTGTGCTGCAGCTGCCCCAGGTCGAGCTTTCCTGCTGAATCAGGGCTCGCACACCGGCTATTCTGGTGCCCAAGCTGAAGATAAATTTGACAATGAGTCAATGAGTTTAGAAGAATTAAGAGCTGTGGGTTGAGAGATAGCTGTGGCATGCCATCCCAATGCAGTCTCCAATTGTGCTGTTGTATAAGGAGACCCTGAGGGTGCTTTTCTTGATGGCGATGTGTCCCTTTGTGGGAGGGTTGTTGTAGGCCCGGAGTTTAAGGAGAATTGTGTTCGTTGTGTACCATTGCAGAACACAGACATTCTTCCACTGTTGATAGAGTGCCAAGAGTTGAGGGTTTCAAAGGGAATTCCATGGCATGGCCATAGGGCTGGTGGTGAGGCGGCGTGGGAGATGCTGCGGGGTCTTCTGCAAGCCGACGGTCTTGGGTGTCAGTGGCTGAGCACAGGAATCTGGGGCCCATTAATTACCATTACTGTACCTTTTCAGGTGTCTGTTTCCCTGTTTCTTTTAAGCTTAAGCACAGTATGGGATTCAGGCACATGGTCTATTGTTCCGGGTTTAGGAGATTACGCAGGAGCAAAAGGTGGAAATGGAATTGACCTGAGTTTTTGTTGTGCTTTCAAGCTTGAAAAAGCTTCTCTGTATGCAGATTTTGAGATTTAGGGACCTGTTCACTATGAATCGGCATCAATTGGTTTGCCACGTGGCGGCGAGATGCTGCATAATTGTATAGCCCTTTTGAGGCACACGTCTGCTTTGATTTGTGTGGGGCTGGCGCAAGAGGCCACGTTCACATCCAGAGCAGCAGTGAGTTGCAGCTTGTCTCACCGGCGCGTGAAGCACAATGACATGTCAAGATGGTGGGAATGTTTTTGCTGGAGTCTTGACCCAGAGCTGACAAGCTTATTGAGCGTGCTGTACAAATACACACATACACATACATATTATATACATACATGCATGTATGAAGACAGATAGACAGCCAGCCAGCCACAGACAGCCAGCCAGCCAGACAGACAAACAGACAGACCGACGGAGCCAGCCAGCCAGCCAGCCAGCCAGCCACCCAGCCAGCCAGCCACCCAGCCAGCCACCCAGCCAGCCAGCCACCCAGCCACCCAGCCACCCAGCCACCCAGCCACCCAGCCACCCAGCCACCCAGCCACCCAGCCACCCAGCCACCCAGCCAGCCACCCAGCCACCCAGCCACCCAGCCACCCAGCCACCCAGCCACCC